GGAGCGCCGCCGCGCTTCCCAAGCGGTGCACTATCCAGTGCGCCACCGGGCCGGCCCACAAGGCTTTTTGTAGTACAGGTTTTTCTCTCCCACTTCTTTTTTTAATCCTTTACTTTTCATTTGGATGGGGTTTGGGAAGAGAAGACAAATGTGTGGGGTCCATCTGCCATGTTCGACTAGACTACCCTGAGTTGATTCTTAAAAGAGTGGGCACAGGTATTCAGCAGGAGTGCAGAGAGGAGAGGAGGGAGCTACGGGCAGAAAGAGGGGAGTGGGTGGAAGAACGGAAGTGGGAATCCAGGTGGATTGCTCGGGAGCTGCTAACACGCAGTACAGGGCAGTGCAACGGCCAAGCGAGGTCGCTCAGCGCCCTTCCTGCAAGGTTCTCTTGGCTCCTCCCCTTGTCTAGAAGGAGCCCTGAAAAGGTGGGGAAGGGGCATATAAAGCGGTCTGTGGTTTGCATAACATCCTGTCATCCAAGCCCAGGTCTGAACACGCAACACTGTTGGCAGCACTGTGCATTGGGATGGTCCTCCCTGCATTGCCATCCCAGCAGAATTCGCGCCAACCCTTTCTGCACTTCTGTTTGAGAAGGCAGTTGGTCACACCCACCAGGGTCCCCAGGCTGGAACCTGAACCAACGTCAGCACCAGCAATGTCACATCCCTCACAGAAGGGTGGGACTAGATGGTGGGCCGGATGTCCCTGGACACTCACTCTGCCTCTAGCTGGCCAGAGTTCTGGAAAATCCACTTCCCACAGTCCACCCCTGACCCTGAGCCCTTTTATCTGGCAGTTCTAGAACTCAGTTTGGGGAATGGGCTCCACCACAATCCCTTTCCCTGCTTCACCCCAGCTGTCTGGTGAATTCCTCAAGGTCAGAAGACAAGTGCTGGGGGCTCTGTCCTCTGCCTGCCTAGTGCCCACGCCCTTCCCCTGCTGCCAGCACAGGCTGCCCACCTTGGGGCTCCTGGCTGCTGTCTGGAGTTCAGGTTTGTTAGGGAAGGTCTTGGGCTGGGCTCTGAGCTCCAGGAGGCCACAACATCAGCTGGCCGGGCCTCTGGCAGAACCCAGGCTTCAAGTCTGGTCTTGGGGAGCTGCAGGCCCAGATTCCTGGAGGGGTGGAGGTGGGGGACAAGGCTGGTCTGCTTGCCCTCTTTGTGGGAGGCAGGAGCAGCTGGAGCTGTACTCAATCACAGAAGCAAGGGCCGTTAGTCTTCAAAAGGCCTTTGGAGCCTTCTAGTGTCACCTGAAAATGGGGAAACTGAGGCACAAAGAAAGGATGCAGCTGTGAGGATGCTGGCACGATGAGGCTGGCTTCTCCTGGCTGCTGCTGGCTGGGGGACCCATCTGGACGTTTGCCACCTCCCTGCTCACCACACTGGCAGCGTGTGGCAGCGTGTGCCTTCCCTGCTGGAAGGAGAAATCCAGGAGGGCAGAAACAGTGCCCAGTTCTCTGTGGCACCTTCCAGGAGTGGGTAATGACACACAGATTATGCTCAACTGAGCATGGTAGAATGGATGGGGGGTGGCAGGAGGCACCCTAATTCTCACAGTGACTTATCGCAGAGCTAGATCCAAAAGCCAGAGCTGTCAGCTGGACAGACAGTAGGGAGCCAGGGGAAAGGCAGCTTGAGCCTATCCTCCCTGCTGCCCTAGGGACCCCAGGCCTCACCTCCCAGCCCAGCCCTCCTCCTTGGCCTTATTAAAAAGCCCCTANCAGGAGGGCAGAAACAGTGCCCAGTTCTCTGTGGCACCTTCCAGGAGTGGGTAATGACACAGATTATGCTCAACTGAGCATGGTAGAATGGATGGGGGGTGGCAGGAGGCACCCTAATTCTCACAGTGACTTATTGCAGAGCTAGATCCAAAAGCCAGAGCTGTCAGCTGGACAGACAGTAGGGAGCCAGGGGAAAGGCAGCTTGAGCCTATCCTCCCTGCTGCCCTGGGGACCCCAGGCCTCACCTCCCAGCCCAGCCCTCCTCCTTGGCCTTATTAAAAAGCCCCTATTAAAGATCTAATTGTGTGTGGTGGCCTGCCAGGTAAGATATCCTGAGAACCGCATACACCTGTCTCTGGCCTGTCTCTGCTCATTCATTCGTTCATTCAACAAATGTCAAACAGACAGGAGGACACTTCTGTGAGTGCGGACTCGAAAACAAGCATAGCAAGACCAAGTGGGTCCCAAGAGCACACTGAGGATCGCCCCACCCTGACCACACACACATACACACACGCATGCAAGCACATGCACACACACGCACGCACGCACACGCATCAACACGCACACACATGCACACACTCACACGGACACGCACGCACACACACGCATGCACGTGCACACACACATGCATAAACACGCACACACATGCACACACACGGACATGCACGCGCACACACACATGCACGCACACACATGCATAAACACGCGCACACATGCACACACTCACACGGACATGCACGCACGCACACGCATAAACACGCGCACACATGCACACACTCACGGACACGCACACACACACATGCACGCACATGCACACACACACGCACGCGCACACATGCACACACTCAGACACACACGCACACACATGCATGCACGCGCACACACATGCACGCACACACATGCATAAACACGCACACACATGCACACACTCACACGGACACGCACGCACACACACGCATAAACACGCACACACATGCACACACTCACACGGACACGCACGCACACACACGCATGCACACACACGCACGCACACTCGTAAACACGCGCACACATGCACACACTCAGACACACACGCACACACATGCACGCACACACATGCATAAACACACGCACACATGCACACGCGCACACACATGCACGCACACACACGCATAAACACGCACACACATGCACACACTCACACAGACGCGCACGCGCACACACATGCACGCACACACATGCATAAACGCGCACACACGCACACACGCACGCACACGCATCAACACGCGCACACATGCACACACACGGACACGCACGCATGCACGCGCACACACATGCACGCACACACATGCATACGCGCGCACACACATACACATTCACACGCACGCACACACACACTGNCACACATGCACACACTCACACGGACACGCACGCACGCACACGCATAAACACGCGCACACATGCACACACTCACGGACACGCACACACATACATGCACGCACATGCACACACACACGCACACACACACTCATAAACACGCGCACACATGCACACACTCAGACACACACGCACACACATGCATGCACGCGCACACACATGCACGCACACACATGCATAAACACGCACACACATGCACACACTCACACGGACACGCACGCACACACGCATGCACACACATGCACACACACACGCACGCACACTCATAAACACGCGCACACATGCACACACTCAGACACACACGCACACACATGCACGCATAAACACGCGCACACATGCACACACTCAGACACACACGCACACACATGCATGCACGCGCACACACATGCACGCACACACATGCATAAACACACGCACACATGCACACGCGCACACACATGCACGCATAAACACGCGCACACATGCACACACTCACACGGACGCGCACGCGCACACACATGCATAAACGCGCACACATGCACACACGCACGCACACACGGACACGCACGCACACGCATCAACACGCGCACACATGCACACACACGGACACGCACGCATGCACGCGGACACGCACGCATGCACGCGCACACACATGCATACGCGCGCACACACATACACATTCACACGCACGCACACACACACTGGGTCATCTTGTTCGATCCCCTGCCCCCAGGCCACTACCACGTCAGGGAATGAGGCCTCCTGGTTTCCCACGGCAGTGGCAGCCCCCTCAGTCCTCAGCAGGCCCCAGCAGGCTCCCGGGTAGGACCTCCCCGTGCCCCCCGACCCGAGCCCTGACCTGTTTCTCTCTCTGCCGCCTCCCTGCGTCCACTGCTGCTGTTGCCGGGGTCACTGTCGTGGGCTCCTCACTTGTGTCCCTGTCCCGGTCTCTCTTGCCTCTGACGCTTCTCACCAGGTACAGCTGACGCCTGGTTCCCGAGGCTGCGCTCCCTCCACTCCCGCCCAGCTCAGCGCTCCTCTCGGGTCACCCCTGTCCCCTCCCCTGCTGCCCAGGCAGGCCGGTGCCCTCCCCGACCCCAGGCCGGGCTCACGGAGCTGCTGAGTCACGTTCCGGGCACGCGGCCCTGGGGACCAGGGCCTCCGGGGCGCGCCGGGGCTGCGGGTATCGAGGCCGGCCCAGCGCA